TCCCGTAAGTGCAAAATATGTAATTGATGGGAAACTCATCTAAATTGGGCAGGGTTCCGGATAGAGTAATTCAGTCCCAACAAACGTTCCACCCTGAGAACAATTAAAGTAACCTTGAGTTACCAGTTTCTTCGATTTAAAGCTGCATTTGTTTCTTTATTTTGTCTGACAGTGGGCGAACTCTTAAAGTATTTGGAATACTTGAATGCTTGGTTTTAATTTGAAAGGGATGCGTATGGGAATCACATCTGTTGCTAAAGTTAAAGGGCAGCTGTCTAAGAGGTTTTCTATTAACAGCGGAGTTCGTCACGGTGATATACTTTAGCCTCTGCTATTCAAAACTGTTCTCTGCTTCTACTTCTGAAACGGTGCTGACCTCGATAAACATGAATATCTAATTGAATGTCCGAAATTATGGACACGGTTCAAAATATCTTGATGCATGTCTTGCTGACCTGTAGTATGTAGAAAATGTTGTCCTGATGAGTAGTCAGTGAACAGGCGTTTTTATGTGACGACTTCGGTGTGAAACGCAGTTGCGAAAGTTGGAATTTTCTTTAACGTCCGGAAGTCAGAAAGTTTGAGTAACCCATCCGGCACAGCTCTACATAGATGGAAGAGAGAGATGCAGCAGTTAAGATGGTCGACAAATTTAAGTATGTAAGCTCGATCATCCCCAGCGATGAATATTCTATAAAAATGAAATTTGAAGGTTGCCTTTGCCTCAAGTGACCCGTCCAATATTCGGGCTGAGAAAGGAGCATTTCTTTCCGCGAAATTTAGTCTGTGCCTTTCATTTATCAGATTAACGTTTCACGGCATGGAAACATGTGTTCTAGCGAAAGGGCAAAAAAGAAGGGTGAACTGCATATGGTATCATTGGCTTCGATACATAGAGATAATTAAACGACAAACACACCTATGGAATTATTTTTTTCTGAGAGAAATTGATTTCAGTAGATGTGGAGATTAAAAAAGGAGATTGGCCTTGTTGGGAAAGCTCGTTGAGGCTCAGCGGTTAACTCCAGTCCATAAGTTTCTTATGTGGGAGCCGAAAAACAGCAAATGTCGAACAGAGGGCCAACTTGCACCACAGACGGACAAGGTAGTTATATTTATTTCGACGATACAGTAACCGGTGTCTTATAGCAAATGTGTCTTAAGGCTGCCTGTGCAAAGAACATTACAAATCAAATATGTTATGCCTATGCAAATTGCTCAAGGTGGCGGTCTCAACAAACAGACCGCTGAATTTGGTGTAAAATCGAATATAAACATTTTTCAACGTGAATAAATCATCTATGGGGTTGATTAAACACACTCTAGCTGTTCTTCTCTGATTGAAGACCACTTCACTTGTACAAGTTTCATAGCTCTGTTACTAAGAAACCCTGAATATGTGAGTTAATAGGGAGTGAAGATAGTCATGCCTATGGGGCGCGATGTACATTGATAGTAGGTCGCTTTCGGACTTCGGAAATGCAGAGTCTGAATCCGAGGAACAGACGAGCTCTGTCTAAAGCAGAAATTTCCATTGATCAAAAAATTATATAACTCTGCTTCGCTGTAACTAGATGACCAACAGTAGCAAATTTGTGCAATACTAACAGTGGGGGGCAGCTTTGTATTCTAACATGATCCCGTCAGAATGGGAAAGGTTTGTGACAACGCACCTTTTGTGGCTGCACGTCTCCGTGAGTCATTTATCGCCTACTGTTTAGTGTGATAACAAGTACCAGGTAGAACCCAGAAAGGAAATATTACGGTAGCGTAGACTTATTTGGAATCCACCTGGGTTCGATGACCGGTCCACACAACATTTTTCGGTTCAGTTCTTCGCCGATGCAAAACAAAGTGCAGCTGAATGAAGACAGAGTTTGTGAACAGTAGAATACCTTCACATATACTGCACAACTATGACGCGAGGGAGGTAGTCAATACGCGTGTGAACGAGTGGAAAACCAGAAGTATAGTGCTTTCTTGTCTCTCTGCCTGCTGCGCTCTGCAGATGTGGGAAGAAACAGTGGAACAGGTGAAGTTAAAATACCTCAGGGGCGAGTTTACTGTTGATGGAAAGTGGAAGAAATAGTTCGTCCGGAGAATTGCGATGGTTAGCGTAACTTTGCGTGAAGTGTCGCAAACTGTTCTGAGACTACGTCGAGACTACGCTGTCTGTGTTCAAGTAGATCTTTATCCCCATGCTCACCTATAGTCATTAGTCGCGGGCCATAATTGAAAAGCTAAGATCCGAAGTATAAGGAGCTTAAATGGGCTTTCTGAATAAAATTGCTTGGCTTACGCGTCTCGACAAAGTCCATAAATCAGATATTTGGGTAAATACTGGTGTACGGCTGCTGCTTCTTCAGAGTGATAAATCACAAGTTCGATGTTTCGGGACGTTTTACGAATGTTACTGGTTAAGAAGCAAAGACTAGTTCACATTTGTATGACCTACGGCCAATGATCCACGAAGAAGACCTGGAATGGCCCGGGGGAGATGTATCGATGGACAGTTATTCAGACTCGAAATATCTCTGGCCAAATTTGAGACGCTGGCGGATAATCAAAAAAGTTGGAGAATTCGTCTAAAGTTGCAACCGTTGAGAAATACAACGATTGTCAGCGAATAAAATTGAGTGAGCTAACTAACCGTGCTCACTGTCATCGTTTCCTGACTGTAGATATCATACGTTACACCCTAAGTGCAGTGATATTCACTGTCGTTTTCTGAATCTAGCTGGTCCAAGAAGTCGAAGATTGAGTAATTTATTCATGCAGTGGTGTTCATACTGAAAACTGAAAAATACATAAAAACGGTTGCTAAAATTTTTATACAACATTTCGAAATCATGGCTTGTTTCCAAAATTTTTCAAAAGAACTGTTGACAATATTTTTGTCATCTGTTCCAGCGAAAGAGAAACTAAGGTGCTGACCCTCTTAATATTCTGTTTCCTCAAAATATAGAGCTAACAACTGAAAAAAATTATGACTCACGTCTAGCCTTTCTCGATATCCTGATAATGAACTCGGTTGTTGCTGCAAAACTAAATTTTATCACAAACCTACTAACATCGATAAAAACCTTAACTGTAACTCATACAATCATCCAAATAACAAAAGATCTGTATTTATAGCCATACCAGATGGAGCTCTTAAACTGTACAATAATGAGTTTCTCAAAGAAGAAATTCAACATATTTAGACAGCCTTGTGCCATAAAAATAATTATCCTGTTAACTTTGTATAACAGCAAAAATCGTAGAAATAGTTATTTTAAATCAACCTGCATTTCCGATAATCCAAGAGGTCCGTTTTGAGGCTCGTGGGAGACGAGCGAAACGTCGGATCTAGTCAATCACTCGACTGACCAACTTATTCGTTTGCGTTGTGTATAAATAAACCATTTTTATACATTTTTCAGTTTTCTGGTCCAAGTAGTTCGATAATTAATTTTCGTTTATCATTCCACTTTGGTGTTGTTTTCGAGTTAACGTCATACGGCACCAGAGATAGCCTGTATCCAGTGTGATTTAAGACAGACTATTCGTACGATTGCAGATCGTATAGTTTGCACGAACAAATATTATTTACAAAATCTATGACAAAACACTCTTCAGATACTTATGAAAAGACATTGTTTTGACTCGCGATTCGACCTGGTTTAGTTAGAAAGTGTAGAACAAGCAGTACGCATAATGCACATTTGCATATGATAGTTTGGAATGTTTATCTCCGTCTTCAAAGATAAGACGAAATGAGTGCGTTTCAAAACGATGATCATACGTTTCGTGAGGATTTGACTGAATTGGAAACACAGTGGCTCGAAGGTAAGCTATAGTATTGCGTCGACTCATTTCCGTATGTGAATTCAAAGCATTCGTTCTATTTTTCAGAACGGTCATAGGCTTGAAAGTGGCACCTGCCCTTTTAGTGAGCTGCTGATTCCGCGTTGTCGCTTTCATCAGAGAGCGTCGTGACTTTACGACGGTGAGTGATTATCTGATCTTGAGGCTGCTATCAGTATCGGATTCGAACTGGTTGCTGCATATGCTGGCATTCAAAACTTTGTCCTTGATTGCGTTGGCAGTCTCGTGTCATCGTCCTCCGCTAAGTTCCGGTGATGAACTGACGACGAACAGGCAGCAGCCGGTGAACATCACTGAAAAGGCTACAAAACATACGTGGCGTTTCGCCGTGACGGATGGGTGGTTGTCCAGCGAAGTAATCACTGCCGTTGACCAGTTGTCCGCAGTATACCTTTCGAATTCCACAAGAGCCTTAGAAGAAAATGCGACAGAACCGCCTGAAGATCAGAAGTGTCATTCTCCGCATCACTGTCACCGACAGTATAATAAGACGAAGGTGAAAACCATGAGCAAATTTGCCGAATCTCAGCCAAGCGATAACGGCACTCATGTAATCAACCTTGTTAACGCAAGCAAGACTTGTCAGGGAGAGCACCATCGCGGATGTAACGGTCATGCTGTTCAATCTTCACCTGATACTAGTCGTGACCTTTCAAACAGTTCAGTGACAGACGGCATACAACAGAACGCTTCGGAGGACAATGAAACATCAGGCAATAATACTGTCACCCTCAAGACGGGTAAGCCTGTTCAAAGGTCTATACTAATTGGCTCGTCGAATAATGGAACAAATATCTTGTTTATTGGAAAAAACGTCCCCTTAGCATACAGCAGAGTAATCGAATTTGAACGCGTGGTGGAACTGGAAGTTAATGGCTATCCAATAGGTCTTCAAGCTTATCCAGTTTATGTCCTCATGTATAGAATCAAAACTTAAATATCAGGTTTGTGTTGAGTAGACTAATGACTGCTTTGTGAGATGTGAAATAAACTCTCTTTTCTTTGTATTCATTTATAAAGAAAAATATTAGCGGTGACAAACGAAAAGAAGGAAAGGACAATGTTTGAAAAGTTGCCACTTGTAGTAGCTGCCCAAGAGCATCCGGGTTAGGATTTTTCGAAAATGAAATAGTCAGGTTTTATTTATATCTATTGCTTCCATTTTACCAGTCTTGGACATGCCTTAGTAAGTTTCAGTATGTCATCTGCGATTTACTGTGATATCACAGTAACGCACAGATGAGAATTGTTCTGTTAATGCCTTAGATACAGTAGACATCGCGTGGTAGCAATCAATGCTGCTTCGACATTAACGAGAATTTTAGCAAGTTCAAGCTTTGATCACGTTTCAGCAGGTTGCTTTACCGAATGTAATAGAGTCAAATCCAGTTTGGTTTGACCACGATTATTAGATCTGAAGATTCTGTTGTTTACGTCAGGGCACAAGGCATTGTGGCGTGTCCCTGCTCGCTTGCATAAGGAGCCATTTGAACAGGTCACGATGTCATGTTAGTTTAGCCCATTCAGTGCGCAGGCGCATATCGAATCCCTTGATGGACTCGATCGATGGCTGGCTCAATACAGATAACGCTTTAGGAATCGACAAGCCACATAGGCTATAGCAGTTAAATCTGCTAATCAATCAAATGGTTAGTCAATGAATCAGTCGTACTAATTATTAGCACGAAACTTCTTGATCCCATTTTAAAACTGCAGCTTTACAAACTATCGAGTATCACGTGAAAAGTAGAAACAAAACAAAAGCATTTATCCGCTTAGTTTCTCATGACTTCGCTATTTCCAATCAGATAACTCGTCTTTTTTGGGTTACCTGAGAATACTGTCAGGAAATAGCAACGTTATGGCTCTGTTCGGGTAGATGTAGCCTGAAATTGACTCTGAGTTCCCTGATGTTTGGAAACTGCTTTCATCAACTTTGCGCTTTGCCTTTCTATCATTTGTGACCTTTCAGAAACCGCATTTAACAAAGCCTTGCCTAGTCGATTCAAACAGGCACTTGCTGAAGGTGCCCAAACAATTGAGTACAGATGCTCATAAACAATATTGTTGTTTGGCCATGGTAAAAAGCTGAAGGGAAAACGTAGCTCCCTCTTGCTGCTAGATGCCATGAAAATGGACACGAATTTGCGGTAATGTGTAAACATCGTAACGATTGCACCAGATTCGACACGCATACGTGTACGGTGCGAAGAGCAAACCCCTACCCTATGCAGATTACGTAACACACAATGCCGTTTCGCTAGAAGTGGACACAAAGAACAAACAGATGGTAGTCTTTTACGCCAAATTACACTGGCCATTGACGACAATCTGAGCATTGCTTGCCTTGATGATGACCAACGTGGCTTGGCTGAAGTATTAAGGATTATCCTCCACCTGTTGCTTGACCCAGAACCACTTAAGCAGCATTTTATTGTAGAAGATGACACAAAATTGAGGTGAGTTTCAAAAATCATTTGGTGAATGATGCACGAAGGTCTCCTCAAGTGTCGTTCTAGTCCATGGCTGCTTGGACTACCGAATCGCCATAATGTTGAGTTACGAAAAACGCATTACTTGTGTTGTCCCTGACTGAGTGACAAAGCAAATAAAAGGCATTAGAGCAACGCTGTTGTCAAATGAACATCTTCGTAAGGTAAGGTAACGGACGCTGCACACTGGCAGCAAGAGTGCAATTCCAAGTAAAAGCAGCAGAAATGATTTCCTCTAAATGATTGTTGTTTTGATGCGGTCCGACAAATATGATAACCGACAGTTTGAGATACTTTACCCTGCGAGTCAGTTATAATTCAGCCCGATGGATCACCGGATCATAAATGCAGTGGTTAGGAGGCGGGGTCTGGATGCCGAACGTGGGTCGCAACGCAGAACTCCCTCCACATAGCCGTATGACAGGCAGCGAACTCTGAGGGCTAAGATCAAACAGCTCGGATATGCTCCGAAAATTAATTGTTTATGCCCTGGCATCGGCAAATGATTAGTAGGCACAGAATACCGCAGAAAGAGTCGTTGTCTGTGAGAATGAATAAACGAACGATTTTCGTCCCTTCATGAAGGAAACGTGTGCCGCCCACTATAGAATTTTTAGGTATTTTTCTTCTTACAGCACACAGAGAGTTTCGATATTAAAATGCTGCCGCAGCAAATGGTCGACATGTATTCGAATTTCGTATATCCTGCTTAAGATCGAAGAATAGCGTTTTGCTTTACACTTAGATGATAATGAATCGTGCAGTAGCAATTAGGACATGACCGTTATTAAAAATTTGTTTTTGGCATCCCAGTTAGGTTCGTGCAATTGAGAAGCCAACTGAGAGATTTCGAAGTATCGATTATCGCCGGTTATCGAGGTAAATATTCCATTTACGACAGAGCAGGTGAGTTAGCACGAGAATTCGATTCCATTCTAGGTAGTGGAAAATTTACCTATGCATACAGTGAGATTAGGCCATTCAAGTTTGGTAGTGAATGCTCTGCATCAGAATGATACTGCGTCCAAACTAAAGTGACCGAAGAGGCGATGGCAAGATTATCTTTACCGAACAAAACATTAAATCAGAGGAGTAACGAACGACATTGACGAAAGTCAAATTGATGCCTATTTCGACAAATGAACGAAAATTTCGAGTTAATGGTTATCGATAGTTTTGCGGCAAAAACACTTTATTAAAGGCCAAACACAACTGTGACAGGATTGATGGGGTGACCAAGAGAGAAGGTGCCCATGAATGCACGAAAACAGTCTCCTGTCAACCTTCCGGATGTACACAGTGTCGTCACACTGTACAATGGCTGTAATAGCCTATGGCGCCGTTTAAGAAGGCCATTGCTCCATTGCATTTTGGCACCTGCAGTGTATCATTGTGCAGTATTACTAATGGTATGACTGTCGAGTGAATTGAATAAAACTATAGGGAAAGAAGACATCCGCATTTGTACCGGAACGATACCGCTGCGAAGGTGCCTGAGGCTGCTGACGAAGCAATACTGTAAAAGCGATTCCTTTTTCCCTGCAGCGATTATTAAGTTCCGGCACAATAAAGGAAAACGCTTACAGGTCATAGAGACAGATGGATGAGGGAAAAGAGGCAATCGAATAGACAAAAACAACTGGGGTTGTTTCATGAAAGCTTTGGTTGCAGTGAGACGCTGCCGCTAAAATATTTCTACCTATATTCTGTTTGACATGGACTTCACCAATGGTTGGCTTGAATTTACGACGACGAGATTTCAACGCAAGACTTGGTGATCGCAATCAAACGCTGCGCCAAGAGATTTGTGAACTGATTACTTGTAGTCACTGTACTGTAGGTAGCCTGCGCATCATTTTCTCCTTAGGTGTCTGAAATTTCGGTCTCGCTAGCAGATCGTGGCGCCGCGTGGTTGCTGAAGTCGACTCCATTCACGCAGTCGCCAACGCAGTGAGCGGAACGACTCAGAGGCATTCGTCGTCACTCTGGAACTAATTCCGTGTGGGCGCAATGACCAATCTGTGACGGCACCTGAAAGTGCGACGCGGTTAGTCATGGGAGGGTGATGTTCCACTTTCTACGAAAGATGATTAATCTCTACGCCGGCTTTTTAGAAACCATGGCAAGCACTGTCACCGCGATTAATGGTCGAATTTCTTCGTACGCAAGCTCTGAGGTATTTATGTTTATGAGAAATGGGCGATGCATGACAACGCCGAAACGTCAGGTTGAAAATTATTAAGCACTTAACATCGTGCAACTCGCCTCTAAGTCTGTGTGAACCAAGTCGCGTTCATTAGTGTGCGCAACGATTGTTGCCATCGGCTCAAGCGCATCTTCACAAAGCATTGTCGCGTGACGTCAGAAAAGACAATTAAAACTACACATGCTTACAGAATACTAATGGCACGTATGATATTATAAATTGGAAATTGTTTCTGCAGCTCCGGCTCTCTCAAGGTACTTAAGCAGAACGCCGGAATTGACCGCCACAAGAGAAGCAATCTTTCGGCTGGTATGACGTTAAACCGGTAACACGTACCGTGATTCGACGATAACACATGCTGAAACTTCGAGTACCATGCATGACTATCTTATGGCAGCTCGATCAGGTCCTGACGAACAAGCTGCTGCCTTACTTATCCTTGCGATGTGCAAGCGACTACTCCAGCGCAGCTTTCGTCTATCCTAGTGGGCAGTTCCTTAACTCTGTCCTTGATCGGTTCCAAGGAGCCTGTATACTAATTGTTGTATGCAAACGCACGCTGTCCTATGTACAACACAGAATTACCATGGGCGAGCCTACCTCTTAACTTGTTTAGTAAATAAACGATTGAGTCTGATCGCCAGACATGTTCATTTTCTGTCGAATTAAAAAACAAGATATAGAAGAGGACAACCAAAAAGCTTCATACCCATATACAGAAATAATGAAAAATGTCTTGAAATAAAATGGTACTGAAAAAGCTACATTTGCGATTACACGGCAGTCGAGCTATTCTGAAAGCATGTAGAAAAATGCAATTAAAGGCGACTAGTTTTTTTTCAATTTTTGGAAGTAGGCACCATATTTTTATGGTGGAAGTGATTTATGACAGTATGGAAGATATTGCAAAAGTTTTCCAGATTCCCACGACACTTGCTACATTAGACAGTTTGTTCGACATGGAGATAGTTGCTCCAACGAAGAAGCAAAAACGACGGTAAGACTGCATAAAACAGCGTTGATTTCGACGCATAATGAGGATTCGACGGCAAGACGCAGAAGAAATAACTCTATCCTTTTCGGGACACAGATGGCATGCGTAAATATGGAGATTATGAAAAAGAGGTTGGCCCTGTCTGATAACGTGGTTGAGCGTGAGCCATTTACTCCAGACCATGAGCTTCTC